AATCCCCATATTAGCAGTATTAAGCAGTTTAAATTAAAGATGTAATTCCACCTTTACCAGCTACAACATCTCACAACTGTACTAAATTAGAGTTGTGAGTTGCAGATAATTAAGTGCAGTTTGATAATGCTGTCAGAAAGGACACATACCTTCGCAGTATTTCACTGATATAGGGGAAATGTGTTTTGGGCACAGTGCTACAATCTGTTGCTTCACAGAAACCCATCACAAAATCAACATGAAGCACCTTAAAACATTAAAAACACTATACATTTTAACACTGACATTACAGCTTTAAAAGAGACTGTAAGAAACTAGGGCTGGGCGATAAAACAATAACGATATCTATCGCGATAGACACGTGATCAATATCAATAGAAAATACGTTTGATAGAATGTTCGATAATTTCACTTGAACTCTGTTAGAGAAAAATAGGAAGAATCCCCAGAGCCGCAAGTCATTCTGGGGGATGTAGGCAGAGGAAGGGCTTTAGCCTCTCGACTTATCACGGCCCAGCTAGGCCAGGTTGGTGGCATCAACAACAACAACAACAACAAAAAAAGAACGGCGTGGAGTGAAAAGGAGAATATGAGTGCGACAGCGCGAGAGGAAATTGTAGATAAAAAAGGAAAGGTCACGTCACCAGTTTGGCAATATTTTGGTTATTTTAAGTCAGACAATAGTCAGACCGATGTTGTCTGCAAACTTTGCAAGGTCGTCGTCCCTGCCAAGTCTGGCAATACGACACATTTATTTTATCACCTCAGCCGCTCTCATCTGCTGGAGTACAGCAGCCTCAAAGAGCCACAGCCATCGACATCTGCCGGTACAAGTGGAACAACACACAAGCGGCAACAGACCACCATCGAGAGGTACACGGCAGCAGTGCCATACGACAGAACATCAAAGTGATATAAAGAAATAACGGATGCAGTGGTGTATCATTTAGCGAAGGACATGCTCAGGTGAAACAGTTTTCCTTGCAGTGAAACCATGTTGTTGTGTTATTTTTATAATTTTATGCTGGTTTGATACTGACACATTACTGTTTGTTACATGTCAAAGATGTTAGTTCTACCTCAGGTGTACACTCATTTTTTATTGACAAAATACTATAAAATACTACTAAATATTTATTTGACTGTTTTTCCCAGTTGTGTTGATCTCTTTATAAAGGTTAAAGGTTACGTTTAAAATAAAAGTATTTAAATTCAGCCTTTTTTTCTCCTGGTCCTCATTTAGAATAGGTTAAAAAAACGAATCAATAGTTATCGATATTGACTAATACGAAACACTTATATCGTGATACATTTTTCAGCCATATCGCCCAGCCCTATAAGAAACTATAGAACCTAAAGTGCTTCAGGGCTGGTTTGTTTATTACACACTGCACTCTAAAAAATAATTCAAGGACCCAGTAAATGTGACAGTAATATATAGGTATGCATGCTTGATAAAACTGCTGAATATCATTATGATGAGTATTTGATTTGACTACATCAAATTCATTCATTAGTAGAACTCAAACAGGAACCTTTGTGTGAAATATACACATGTAAATTAAGTTTATTTCTTTGAAATAAATTATAATTTGACTGACAGATTACATGGTTTAAATATTTGTAATAATCACTGTATGTTTCAACAACATTTTTGAGAATACACTACGAACAGCAATTACTTTTAATAAGTGCAATTATAATAGAATTCAACTCAATTTTATTTGAGACCTAACTTAACAACTTAAAAAAATCAAGTAAGGCTTGGCGGGCACAGCGGATTGAATTTCAACCTGACTACAGTAAGTTATTTTGAACAAATGTATAATTAATCTTTAGTTACAGAAGCCAGACATGAGCTACCGTTATTTAATTTGCCTTGTTAGCATCTGAACTACTCATGGCGTTACACTATTTGAAGTGAGTCCTAGGCTTCTTTGACACGTCGTGTAGCTCGAACATTTAATGTGTGTAACTGCAACATGTTGTTGCACATATTAAGGTGGAGGCAGGTTTGGGAATAAAATCTAAAACCTTTCGCCATGCCAAGTTAGCCATAGCACCCATTTATAACCATATCAAAGATGCTTCACGGACTAAGTTAGCTTTGCAGGTTTCATACCGCGTTAGAGTACTCAAGGCACCACTCGGGCCTCTCAAAAGGTGCTGTGTCGACTGACACCGAAAATAGCGGATTTACATAAAAGCTCACAGGGCACTTATTGTTTTTTGTTTTCTTTGGCCAGGTGCGAGCTGTGAGTGAGTGCTAGTCAGACCGCGTCGGTTCTTTTTAGCACCGGTTTTAAGTTGCAGGCCTGTTGAGAACTCTTGAGAAATCATACCGAGGACAGTATAAGTTATCTCAATACATTGATATCTGAACATCGCCACAGACTGTTGGAAGTCTTTCCTGTTAAGTTAACTCCTAAATTCCATTTCTCGGAACATTATCCAGACATGATGAAATGCCTTGGACCTTTGGTTTGTGTCTGGACTATGCGCTTTGAGGCAAAGCATAATTTTTTCAAACGTATTGTTAGACACACAAAGAGTTTCAGAAACATTCTACTCAGTCTCACCACAAAGCACCAAATGATGATGTCATATCATTTACATGCTGATGCTTTGAAACCTGCGTTATGTGTGAGTAAAGTAACTAGTATTCCATTGGCATTGCTGCCGAGGTGACTCGGCTGCACATACAGCAACTTAGTGATACATACCTCTTGGCAGCATACTGTGTGGGAGGGAAACGCATGGTCAGTTTAAAAAGACACATTATTGTCCAGTAGTAGGTGAAAAAGCTAAAAGCATCAACTGTACAGCAATCCTACTCTGATTTCCAGTTGTGAATTGTTTTCATGCAGATGCACTCTGTTGTTGTGAAGGTGTTTATAGATCATCACAGTGAGCTCACACTGTCAACAGGGATGCCAGACACAGTGGAGCAATTACATAAGACTATGAAGGACACTTTCCAGATCCATGAGGAATTCACTTTGGGGATTTCTTCACAATTCATTCTACTAACGAGGTTAAACATAAGGGGACAATCAAGGTGGTCATTATTCCATCCATAGTGCTCTTATTAGCAACACCGGAGACTGAAAATGTGGCAGATAGTGTGAGTGACATCTCCAGTTTGACTTCAAAAACACTGTCTTCACAGTCACCCTCTAGTTCTGCAGTCTACCAGTCAGATAGCACATCATCAGTGTCATCACAAGGCACCGTCTTATTAAGCCCCGAAAAGGCGTTATGGAAAAGTGAAATTGAAATTCCACGTCTTTTCAGTTACAACAGAGGCAGTACTGGGGAATGCGAATGAACAGTTTTTGAAAAATGGAACTGTCCTCAACAACCCCCGGGTCAAGTCTGAAATAATGGAAAGGCTGGCAGATTACATGTACAGTTACACTGCCTATCCCACAGGCCTTCAGGTTGGACAGGTTGCAGAAGCCTTGGTCCAAAAACACCCATGTCTAACAGAACCTGGAAGTCGCAACGGATGGATTGGATGGATGTACACCCTAAAATACAAGATGGGGAATTATAGGTCCAAGTTAAGAAATCTTGGATTTCCTGAAGTTATGCGCAGTTCTCTCAAAAACAAGCGTCCTGGTGAGAGGAAACCAGCCCAAAATGTTAAAAAAGCACGTACATATTTGTACCTCCAAGTGGTATTTTCATATATTTGAGCTACTGTAAAAACACTTTGCTCAATAATTCCTGGCTATGGATGGTATATTTGACTTCTACACATCTAAGCCTACAAACATGCTTAATATCAAGCATTTTTACTGTACCAATGTGGAGAAATTGAAGAATAAACGTCCCATATTTATTCTTCCAGATTCCCTATTTTCTTATATTTGAGCTACTGTAAAAATGTAAACTGTATGTGGAACCACCTGCAACAGCTGTCACACTGAATAATATAAAAAATAATATGTGAGGAAGAGACAGTAGGTACAATGGTGTTTTGAAGTTAAAACTAATTATTTTTCCCTTTTACCTACAAATGGACACAGCAGAGCTGCAAAATAAGAAGAATGTGGACTGGCATTGCATTTTGTGTGAAAAGTAAACAAATTAGAATTGTGTAGGATTTTTTTGTGTTTAGTGTTTATATTATCAAGATGTTATTAAACAGTTGTGTGAAATTTTGTCAAGATTACTGCAGCATTATTGAAGTATAATGAAAATGCTTCACCCATAGCCTGGAAATATTGAGCAATATGTTTTTACAGTAGCTCAAAAATATAAGAAAATATGGAATCTGGAAGTATAAATATGGGACTTTTATTCTTCAATTTCTCCACATTGGTATAGTAAAAATGCTTGATATTAAGCATGTTTGTAGGCTTAGATGTGTAGAAGTCAAATATACCATCCATAGCCAGGAATTATTGAGCAATGTGTTTTTACAGTAGCTCAAATATATGAAAATACCACTTGGAGGTACAAATATGGACTTTTATTGTTGAATTTCTCCAAATTGGTACAGTAAAAATGCTTGATATTAAGTATGTTTGTAGTCTCATATGTGTAAAAGTCAAATATACCATCAGTAACCAGGAAACACTGAGCAATATGTTTTTACAGAACCTCAAATACGGTCAAATATGCAATCTCTGGAGGCATAAATATGAGACTTTTATTTTTGCATTTCTCCACACTGGTGCAGTAAAGATACTTGATATAAAGTGTTTTTTTTATTCATCAGGGGCACAACACTTTAATGTAACATATTTTAATTATAGCTTACTGTTCTAAATACCTTTATTTTGAAAACCGGAAGTAAATACGCTGTTTCTCCGCATTTACCATAATGCTGAGAATACTTGTACACTCGAAATTTAAGTGCGGCTGATTTGACCACGGAGATCGGACTCACGGCTGGATTGACCGCAGTCTACTAGCCTACTGTTTCTTCTACACAGCACCGTCCTGTAAATGACAACATCCGGTCTCAGAATATGAAACAACAGGTCTTTTTTCCGTTTCTGTTTTCTAGTGATTTAAATTTTTGTTATATGAAATAGAAAATGAAAATCAAAAATTTTTTTGAATTTCGCTCATCCCTTTCTGACCATGAAAAAGAAAAACGCCTTGTATTTCAATTTTAATTTTTGTATTTTAAAACATTCGTTTTCTGTTTTTTAATACCCGTTTCTGAAAGGAAAATCCAATGACCAAAACATACACGGACCATACACGGACCCAGTTTACTCCTCTGTTGAGATGCTTCTTTCCCTCACCTGTCTTGTCACCACTCTTTTCTCTTCTAAATCTAATTCACTTCTCAAATAACTGACTCTTCTGTACTCTTACATTCAGCACAAGATCATATGCCTCATGCAGCCTTTATTCCAACACAGTGTTTCTCAATCTCCTCTAACCATCTGTCTTTGTCATATGCAACATACACTCTCCACATTATTGCTCCTCTACCCATCTGCCTACCACACTGTTTTATCTTTCATTCTTTTTTCCTTTGTTCAGTGTGAGTATATTCTGAGTAGACTTTTAAAGAATATATCACATAGCAAACATGACTTCAAGGTTGCAGTGATCACTCCAGATAAGGGCTGAATGATATAATGAATTTTAATAGATATTGCAATGTTTTACCAACTGCTTCACTAAATTTTGTTTCATTTTTTCAGTGTAGTCAAATCTATTATAATATTAAAAGTTAAAGGGCCAAAATGTGCAATGAGGAGAGTGACTGCTGAATCTTGTCACTGTTTAAATACATTTTCTCCTTAACAGAGTGGAATTCCAATAGAGAAAACCAGAGAAGTTGTCATCCGATGTCTCATTGATCACCTCGGCGAGGATGTGGGTGCCTTAATCAAAGAGTTTGAGGTGAGTGCAATAGATGACTTTCAGTATTCTCCCTACAGTAATCTGTAAATTTGAAAGTGTTTCCGCTGAATACATAGTCAGCTCTAACAACTATTAATTGGCACTTTGACTTTTTGTGTCTATTGGAAAGACTGCAACATTAGTCTTGTAGCTTATATCCAAATCAGTTTGGATTTTGCAAACATAATACACCAAATAATATCTAAATTTAAAGTAATTCCATATTGGTGTGACGTTCAGTTAAAATCAATTTTATTTATATAGTGCCACTTAACAACAGATGTTATCTGCAGAGAGGACTTATCTTCACAGATAATGTTTCATTTCAATATATTCTATTGGTTTAAAAACACTGCCACACTTACGATCAAAAAACTATTTGCTTCCCCTCTCATACACCTGCTGGTCATCACCTGTGTCTTACCTGTATGCTGTTTGCTATCATAATGCCCCACCTAGTTTATGGCCCCCTACTACATTATGGGACCAACAGACATATCGCTAAGTCCAGTTATGACCTGGATGAATGAGAATATGCACGGATACCTTCAGTCAGTATTATTATTATTATTGTTGTTATTTGCATGTGTCTGTTCACATCATTCAAATTTGTCATATATGCTAGTTAAAATAGTAGACAACTTACAACATGATGTTTGTATAGCTTATTTATGAAGTTAGTTTTTTTATTTTTTTTTATTTTGGTGACATCCTGCCTGCTATAACCAATTTCCTTTACAATGTCTACAGAATCTTGATGATACAGCCGTCAATGTGGAAGAAGAGCTGGCAGCAGAGACGATGGCTCTGTGCCTTGTGCATAATGAAGATGGACAAGTCAGGGATGTACAGTCCCTGACAAAAGTCTTGTCACTTATCCATTTTGTAGAAACAGCAGCTTATAACCTGACTTTTAATTAATCCATTGGTTTTAGAAATGGCTCATATGAAAGCTAAAACCCTCCCAAATTATGTTTAATATACTAAAATGAATTTGCTTCACTGAAGAAAGATTGATCATTTAATGAACACAGAAAGGTCAGATTTTGGCAAGACAAAAGTTTTGTCGCCTACAGAGAGTAATGTGAAAATTGAACAAATAATTTACTTCAAATACAAAAATATGTTGCATAACATCAGTGAATTAAGTAGTGGTGCTGTGAGATCCATATTTAATATCTTGTATGACTTCTATGAGCTTGAAGGACTGCATCCATGTGGTTCGACAATGATTCATACAATTTATTGATATAGGAATAGCAAAGAAAGCAGTCTTACATGCCTCCCAGAATTCATCAAGATTCTTTGGTTTCGTCTTCCATGCTTCCTCTTTCATTCTACCCCAGACATGCTCAATGATGTTCACGTCTGGTGACTGGGCTGGCCAGTCCTGGAGCACCTTGATCTTCTTCGCCTTGAGGAACTTTGATGTAGAGATGGAAGTATGCGATGGAGCACCATCCTGCTGCAAAATTTGACCCCTTTTATGGTTGGGAATGTAAGAGGTAGCTAATACTTCTTGACATTTTAGGCTATTGATATTGCCTTCCACCCTGCAAATCTCTCGCACACCCCCATACTGGATGTAACCCCAGACCATGATTTTTCCGCCACTAAACTTAACTGTTTTCTGGGTGAATCTCGGATCCATGCGGGCTCCAGTAGGTCTCCTGCAATATTTGCGTCGGCTGTGATGTAATTCAACCGAAGATTCATCTGAGAAATCCACCTTCTGCCACTTTTCAAGCGTCCATCTTTTTAGCAGGCTGTGGGCCTTGGCAAATGCCACATGTTTTTTTGTTTAGTGCTGGTTTCTGGGCACTGATTCGACCATGGAGGCCATTTCGAGACAGACTTCTACAAACTGTTCTGGTTGACACGGGGACTTGAGGTGACCAGGCCTGGTGGAGCTCTGCTGCAGTGAAAAAGGGGCTGGCCTTAGATTTTCGAGCCACCAACAGTCCTCCCGAGCAGTTGTCTTGCGGGGTCTGCCAGACCTGGGCTTGTCAAAAACATCTCCAGTCTCTTCAAATCTTTTTCTTATTCTTTGTACTTGACGCTAAGACACATTGAAGGTGTCAGCCACCTCAGCAGTGGATCTGGTCTTCAGCCTCTTGATAATCAACGCTTTGGTCTCAGGGTGAATCTTAGGCATGTTGTCAGAGGTCAAGTTGCAGTTGATGTGAAGGTCTGGTGTGCTGGGGTTCTTTTTATACACACCCACTAATTGATTGATCAATTGTTGATCACAGGTGATGCTGTAATCTAGGATTGGGTGCATCATATGACAAGGCGACAAGACTTTTGTCTTTGCAAAAACTGACTCAGTGGGCTTTACCAAGCTGTGAACGATAGAATGCTTTTCAGCAGTTTCATTTGGCACCAAAACATTATTTCAAAAGCTGTTAAGGTACTTAAGGTCAACTTGTACCCAAGCGACAAGACTTTTGTCAGGGACTGTAGGGATCGTCAGTGAGGGTTCCATCGTACTCAACCACCTTGGGGATCTCAGCAGAGCCTGCTGCTACTTGCTTGGACTAACTTATGCCTTGGACCTTAAATACCCCAAAACTCTGAAATAAATTTTTGAAGTATTTCAAAAGTACTCGTTGAAGTGGATGCTGGAAACCTGTCAACAAAGGTGCAAAGACTGAAAAACAATGTAATGATATAGTTGTCTGTGGGGTAGATGAGCACAGATGAGACTCATACTCAACTGAACCATGCGTGTAAGGCAAAAAACAGACTATACCCTCAGTAATAAGTGAGGTTCTTCTGGACAGAAACTTGGACAATCTATGGCTTCATTTCGTCAAACCACATCCAGGTGTTGTCTGACTGATTGCATGATCTGATGTTTTTTTGATTGTACATTTACATTTTGCATTAATATGCGTTTTATTTTTTTCTTTGATCATTCCTGTGAGGCACGAGGCATCCAATTTTTGAGTTTCAAGTCAAGAGTTTCGAAGCGGTTTCACCAGAAGTGACTTAAATGTTGTACTTCTAAAGGAGGAAGTAGTTTTTGTATTTTCAGTTTGGAGTATCTGTAATTGTGAGAAACGCAGGTGTTTAAAAAAGCACAAGAGATGACCAATGTATTGTCATATCTAGATGTGAAGCCAAATATGCTGTGGAGATGATTTTGCCCTTGTGTCACAGATTGTGATAGGCCCAGGTACTAGTCATCAATGTGTTTAGTGTGAAGAAAACCCTTGCATTAATATGCATCTTTAATATGTTTTTTTTTTTTCATGGCCATTTGGCAAGAAGCATTTTAGTTCAGAGGCTTTTGATCTTGGGTATCCTGAATTGCCTTTCCTGTAACAGCTTCGAATGTGCTGCTGTAGGTTGTGTCCACATAACTTAAGTGATAAAACAGACAGACATGTTGATGACTTAAATATTAGTTGGTGATGGTTCAGATGAAAAAACAGTTGAACCCCTCTGTTGTCGTGATATAGCTCCAGTTCTTGTGGAGAAGTTGCCAAGCTAATTATTTTGAAAATTCCTTATTGAAATGCACTTTTATGTATTAGGTATGTGCATATAGTGGAAATTTAATTTTCTGTGGGAAAAATGTTTTAAAATAAAGTTTAATGTTTTGTGAGATATTTGTCATATTTGTATAGTACTGAATATCCTAAAATCAAATACAGCACGTAGTGAATTAAGTTTAAAAAATCAGTTAGTACAACAATTTTTTTTAGTAAATCATTAGCAAATTTGCAATTATCTCCTACAACTGTTTTCAATTATATTTACTCAATTTCTTTAGTGCTTTCTATTCACGTTTTCTATATGGTTTACACAGTATTTCAGTTACATTTACTCAATTTATGTGGTATTTGTGCCAAGTTAAATCATTCAGACGTAATTGAAAATATTATTTAGATTTACTCATCACTCATGTTTTGTTTTAACAGATTTGAGAGCTTTCAAATCAACTCAATATTTTAAGTGTAAAAATGTTTCACTAATTGAATTAAGTATTGTGCAGTATTATTTTTTAGACTGTGCTTGATTTGTACTTTGGCACACGGAGTCTTCTTCCTGATGGCAGAGGTTCATATTCAGAGAAGAGGACATGTTGAGGGTCCATAATAATTTTTGCTGCCTGTTTCATGACTGTGTGCTCATACAGGCTCTGTATGGGCTCATATTCTTTCCTCCCTATTATCCTCATCGCTATTTTGTGCATACTGGCCAACCTGCTTTTCATCTACATTGAGAAGTTGCCAAACCCTGCTGTGATTCCATTTCTAATGACGTATATTCTACAAGGAAAGGCCCCGCGTTGAAAATGTTACTTAAGTATATATGTAAGTATAATCACAAAAAGATGCTTAAAGAATTACAAGTGAAAGTAGTCAATGCTGAAAACTGTTGTACTTTTATATATAAAATCATTAGATTATTATGACTTATGCATTAATGCAAAACCAGGATTTAACTACTGAACTTACTAAAAAAACACCAAAATTATAATAGCTCATAGGAAAAGCAGACAATTCCCACACTGGTGAAGCTAGAACCATTCAATGTGTTGCATGAAAAATTACTATCAAAATAGGTGCCAATTAATTTTCTACCAATCGATTGTTTTGGATACTTTTTACCCTCTTCTGCTTTCTGAAAAGATAGATTTGACACTGAATGCCTGTCTACATCTTGATAAAAGTCATTGGACTGTATAAACACCTTTGACAACAATATAAATCAAGTTAATTTTTATATTTCTGACAAAGTCTGATGTGTTTTTTTTTAAATCAAATATATTAGAATGTTCTTAATAAACTAAAACCAATGAATTAAGTTGGCAAAGGTATTATAAACATAATCGAATCTTGGAACATGTATATGGTAGTGACCACTGTGCATTTTCCCTGTATAAAAATTCCCTTTTGGGATTTTTCTTCTTTATTGATGAAATATTATCATATCATTTGGGTGACTTTTGATAATTTTGACAAAGTAGCATGAATGCACAGCGATATGTTTTTTGAAGTTGTATTTGTTTGTTGTTTCATTTCATGCATCAGTGAACTTGTGACGAAAGAAAATGATAAGAATTTCCTTGATGCAAAAGCCACAGATTGTCTTTGTGTAACACATTGTTCTGGCAGGGAGGTAACTGTCTGACGTGGTCATGTCCTTAATCACACCTTACTATTTTCAATAGTGATAATTTTACAGACTGTAATGTTTGCCACTCCTTGTTGTGTTTCTTTTATGTCTTGTGTTTACGCCTTAATGTCTTACATACCTTAGAAGCTAACCATGAAATGTTTTTGCATGAAGAACAGCATAAAAGACTATGAAGGACTCAAAGAAATTTATTCATCATTATACAACACAAGGTTGCATAACACAAGGTTGTATAACGAAGTGAAAGTTTCATGATACACGCATAGAAAAAGACAGAAAAGATAATAAAAAATATTTTTTTGTCAAGTATGTTTTATTGAGGAAGGATTGCAAAAATGTAGGACATGAGAATGCAGTGTACATTTTCTCTGAAGAAAAGCAAAGCTAATACAACAGATAGTATTAATATAACTTAACTGAACCAGATAGTAGTAAAAATATAGTAAAAAACAAGCAATGAAAATTGTGTTGTCCAGTAAACTACACGGGGAGTGTACATCATTGGTTGTTTCTCAGGTAGCAGACAAAGGGAAGCCAGATCTTATCAAATTGTGACGGTCTATTCTTCAAAGGGAACCTTATTTTTCCATTGTGAAGGGTATCGGTCATTTCACTGAGCCACAGCTTAAAAGTGAGAACTTAATTAATTTTTTTGCTGTAATAAGACAATAAGAGAGAAGTTGCTGTGGCCCTTGTTAATACAGATGTGGCATCTGAAATTCCTAGCACAATTAGAAACAGGATCAGGTTTGATGTGGGTGTCGAGTATATCAGAGAGCGTTTTAAAAAATGTTGTCCAATATCTTTCTATTCTGGGACAGAGAGCAAAGCTATGGACAAGGTTTGCCTCGGTTGTATTACATTTATCAAACTGAGGGGCGATGTCTGGGAACATCCATTATCAAGCTGGGATGGTAGGAATGAAGGGTTCCCAGCTATGGGGAACAGGAGAGAGAACGAACCAATCCTAAAGTGTGTCTGAATTTGCTTCCAGATTCTCACCATACTCTGTATGATGATTTATCTAAGGCCACTAGGGACAGGATCACTGCACCCAAACTGTATGGACGGCATTGCTCCCGCTCCAGGCCTGCCCCAGAGGAGGTTCAGCCGAGTTGTCTAACCACAATGAGAACGTTTTGATATTAGAAGCCCAGTAGTAGAGGCAAAAGTCAGGAAGAGCAAGCCCACTAACTCGTATTGGTTTGCAAAGGTGACCTTTTCTAATTCTATGGTTTTTATAGTCCCAGATAAAAGGGAGTATAGCAGAATTTAAATGTTTAAAAAATGATTTAGGGAGGAACACAGGGAGGCACTGGAAGAGGTAAAGTAGCTGGGGAAGGAATATAATTTTAATTATGTTAAAGTAGAATGAAAATAAAAGTAATAATATATAAACAATATGTATAAGTGTTTTCACCCAGGAAATAATTCTGTTGAAAATAGTTGCTTATTCATTTTCTACCAATCGACCAAAATAACCCCTACAGTGATACATGCAGTTGTTTCTACATGTGTGACATGTTTTAAAAGCAGAAGGGGGCCACTTGTCATGGCTCTGCTCCCCTCCTGCTCTCTTTGCTCCTCCTCCTTCCCTGTGTGTCTGATGAGGGTCCGGCCTCCATTCTCCTCACCTGCTGTCTGCTGTCTCACCTGCTCTCAATCATTCATCATGCCTCAGTCTTCCTCCCATTCATCGCCAGATTGTTTCAGCCTATGTGGTGGTAACTCTCGTGGCTCCTTTCAGTATTTTGTTAAGCAACTTCAAGCTCTCTTGTGATTTTCCCTGTGCCTGTCCCCCAGTTAACCATTTCTCTCCTGTGCCCCAGGGTCCCTTTGTGCAGTTTGGCTTCCTGTGTCTGCTCACCTGTGCCTCTGTGTCTCCGGTCTCTTTCACCATTTCACCCGCCCGTTCCTGCTGTGGCCGCCCCTCATCCCCGTGTGTGTGTGTGTGTGTGTGTGTCTCTCTCTCTCCCCCCCTTTAAACCTTCCATACTGTCTGGGTGTCTACTCCTGGGTCCGGTTCTAACACCAGCCGTGACACCACTGAGGCTAAATTTGTACGAGCCCCAGAATGTTGTGTTACCCCATGGCATGTAACCAATTGTAAAACAGAAAAACAAATATATAAAAATAAATTGTTGTCATTTCATACACCAGAAAAGCTTTATTAGGCAGGTTATGATATATAGCTACAGTACAGAATAAATCAATCATATTAAGTAAAACTACTGCAACATATTTTTGAGATTAAGAGAATACAGAGAATCAGAGAATACACAAAATATGCAATGAGATGTATATAAATTGTAATTATAGAATGGAATTGTGAAATATGTGCCAACAAACTAATACACCACAATTAAACAAATACTTAAAATATACAATCCTTTTCCAGATGATAGTGGACAAAAAAAGTAGTGTTCAGTTGTGTGTCTATTACTTTGCTGCTAACTTGTCCCACCTCAGCTTCATCCAGACTACATCCCCTCTTTTCCTATATTTGGGTTTTCTAGCCCCTGTAATTGCGAACAAAAGATGGCAATGGGCAGTAAACCCAAATTAAAACCAGGCTTAAAGAAATCATTTCAGAGTCCTTAGAGGAGCTTCAAAGGTGCTTCGTCCCTGCTTTCTCTCACCAGAGAGTAAAGATAAGGAGTCCGAGCAGCAGATGGATCATACCCAGTCTGATGCAACCTGCGTCACTGGTAGTTGTTGTTGTTGTTGTTGTTGTTGGGGCGGTGGTTGTTGTTGTTGTTGTTGTTGTTGGGGCGGTGGTTGTTGTTGTTGTTGTTGTTGTTGGGGCGGTGGTTGTTGTGACAGTATTACACAAACTGGTCCCACAACAGGAAGGTCCGCTGCTGATGTTACCAACATTTTGCAGAAAAGGTAGGTTACCCAGGCTGGCAGCAGCGGCACACAGGTTTGCAGATGCACAGCCAAAGGCCGGAGATGTTGTGGACCCAGCTGTCACTGTGAGAAGAATCACTGTTTACTCTATGAGGTATATTTCAGGAAGAATTATTCAGATCTTTCACTTTATTAAAATAATAAATACCACAATGTTCAAGTCTTGCATGAAAAAACATGAATATGTTTAGAAGAATATACTCAAAGTGTCAAAAGTATCTGCCATGATGCACCACAGAGCGGCACAGGAAGTCATGTGGCCATCAAACTCTTTACTCTTCCCTCAGAGTGTCAAAACTCTGAGTCATTAGTCCTTAAAGCCGATTAAGGTGCAATACACTTAATTATTATTATGTTATTTTGTAATTTCTTCAATCATTCCTTTGTAATTATCTACAACTTCTGCTAGCCACAATCTTAACTCACTGCTATTTAGTGACACTGTGGAATATACTTTGTATACAGGGGTCTTATCATCTTATTAGTGTGCCTGGAAAGCACACTACTACTATTGCCCTTGCTTATTATTATTCTTCCGTACGTTTTTTGGTCGACTACTCCTCCCGCAGTTTTGGTCACACATACACAAAAAGGTACCAAAACGTGCGGCTCGGTGGGGACATTAGTGCTATGACTTTTCTAAGTGTTTCGCCAAACAGTTTGCCGATAAATTGCCAAAAAACCAGGCCAAAAAATGAAATGGGTGTGTATTGCGGACGCCAATGGCTACAATGCTGAAGGGGGGAATAGGACGTCGCCGAGTTTTTCAAAATTTGAAACCTGGTCGCCTAGGCAACCAAAGCCTGCAGCTAACAAGTTTGACCTCAAGTGAACAAATGTAAGTAATGGTGGTATTACAAGCCATTGTACTGTTGTCTAATTCATCACTTAGATTCCCTCCTCCATTATTTGGCGAGTTAATTAGGTTGGTGTCGGAGGCATACATAAAAAAACATGCTGTGAACTGAGCGGTATCAATGAACGTGCAGAAAAATGTTTGTTAACAAAAGCCGGCATATATTTTTGGACTGCTGGAAAATCGTTACGTGTTTGTTTACGCGTTGTCACGCTCTCCCACTCGTCATTTCCGGTGTGTTTTAACATAGTGTTCCTTCTGGGACAATACTAACCATCGAAGTGGGCACTCGGCGTAGTGGTCAGTGCATTAGCAGTGTCTGCGGAGTATGCGAGTGGACACAGCCATGGTATTAATATGCTAGCGCTAGCTAGCGTGCTAGGAGGAAGACGTGGTATTAATATCGGGCCGAGCCAGGCACACCAAATTTCTTTAGGAATTTTCTAGTTATATCTCTTAGGCTCTTATCTATCTCTATTTCAATTTTTTTTTATTTTACTTTTACTTATGTATATACCTAAACATACATTTCTATTCTTTATATTGTGTTAGATGTTGTAATATAAGTATTATTTTATTTTTACTATTCATGTGTAAGTACAACAACTATAACAAATAATTTCCCACCGGGGATCGTAAGTATTCTGATCTGATTCTGAGTAGTAGTTCTTTCATTGCGCTTGTCTTTTGATGTTTTATCATTTATACGTATATTTTTATTGGATCATTCTGATGTGTGACTGTGTGATGGTGTGTGAATATCTGTCAAGTGTGGCGCAAGAAGAAGTAACATATATGAAACTAAGTAAGCCACAAACAGTTGGCCAATAAGATCAGCCAAGTACATAAGTAAATGACGATGATTTTCCAGATCTCACATGTAGTAATTTATCTGAAATACTTTGAAGTAAAACATATACAAAGTCAAACTTTAAAATAAAAAATAAAGACTCACAGCTCGCTTGAAAGCAGCGGTCCTCCGATCCCTTACATTGTAATAGGTTGGTGCATTGAGAGGTCATGGGGTCACAAGAGTTACACTGTAGGCTGTTATCTGCTGGAGTAGTAGGGACTGAAACATGAAAGAACAACATCATTAATTTGAGGAAGAAAAGCACATTTAAGGTTATATTACTTATCCATAGTAATATATCTTTATTCTTTTCATAAGCTTGACTTATCCATATACTTACATGGTAGAGTAGCTGAGTTGCAGTTATCTGTGTTGCAGCATGTCGCAGATGCAAGTGCACTCGCAGCTCCCAAGTTGGCTGAATATGTCTGAGAGCCTGCGGCTGGACACAGGGAGGACGATGCACAAGCCTTGTAGATTTGCTGGCCTGGGGTTCCAGCTGAAGTAGCTACAAAATTTAAGTACAATTTGTTAATGTTGACGGCAAGAACACATAACTTTACAGTATATGTATTTTACTGAAAGTTAATAGATGACATAAAGAAATACCTACCTTGAATGGAAGCTGTTATACACATTGTCTCTGAGGAACACGTTAGTGGTATCGTGCTTGAACACTGCTGATTTGTGCAAGTTTGACACACAAGTGCTCCAGCTGTAAAGGGAGAAAAATAAAAAAAATAAAGTGAATGATGATCACAGCTCAAAAGTCATATTAAATGTCTGAGGTGTTTTGGTGGTTTGTAAAATCTGAAAACTCTTAATGTTATTATTTTAATACAAAAGGATCACAAAGGTTGTAAAAATGGTGTCTGATCTGCACTACATAACTCTTCTAAATTATCTTCATCTGCTTTCTACCTCTTCAGATTGCTTCTTGTACTGCTGTAACATGAATTTAAGTCTAACCTACAATTTATTTTCAAAGATATGAACTTTGTTTTGTGTAATTAAAATATATCATCACGTGATACTTAGTGTCAGATTTAAATTCCTTTCTAAAATCAGTTATGGTAAAATGATAAAACTTCTTAAAAGTTTGAAATAGTGCTCTCTAGTAACAGCAGACTCTGTAAAGTAAGAATAAATCGGGTTACCTGTGCTGGAGAGCGCCCAGATCAGAGTCAGAGAAAGGATCAGCTTCATCATGATGAACAGGTAAACAGTCTATATTAGTTTTCCTGGATGTTGATACTACACTCAGTGCCGCTGCACTTTATATACTGCACAGGTGCGAATACATTCACGACAGATGCCTGCGTAAGAACAGAGGGATTGGGTGTGTTGTTTTTTTAATATGACCCTTCAGATACACACCTCATCTTTTGTCAGTTGGGAAATAATCCTGTCAACACACCTTCCAACACCCTTTTTGGTGTATTGAAACGTGTATAGTTTACTGACCAATGTGCATTTTCACTGTGTAAAAGTTCATCCTTCTTCTTTATTGTGGAATATTGTCATATAATATAATTTGGGTGACTTTTAATCACTTTTACAAAGTAACAGAAACACAGCAGTTAGCTTTTCATCAAAGGTTTGTTGTTTTATTTGATGCATCAGTGAACTCATGACGAAAGAACAACAAGGTAAGAATTTCCTTGATGCAAGAAGCATTGATCATGTTATTGTGTTAGACATTGTTCTGATAGGGAGGTAACTGTCTCACTTACTCACAGGTTATTATTACATTGCTTGCTTTGCATGTGTTTCTTGCTTTTCATCATCTGGAATGTTGTGAAACTGGCAACCGACTGTATACTACATTCAATGATGATGTTAATTACATAGATTGTAACTGCATTGGTGTTTCTTTTATATCTTGTTGTTACGCCTTAATGTTTGCAGAGGTGGAGGAGTTTGGGGGAGTGGCGGTGGCTTCTGGGTCTCCATTTGTAAATGATGTAAAAGTTCTGTTACTGGGGAAAAAACTCCAATCGGTTCACCCTAACATTGTTGTGAGTCGTGTTTTACTCAGTCGTGTCAACTTAACAAGCAAGCTAGTTAGCTACAGTAGCTTATGGAATTTGGATATGAAGTTTTTCATGAGGACTATTTTTGCCTCTTTTTAATTGACAGGAGTGAAAATTAAAACCTCAATCCACATTTTATAGTTTCTATTTCTAATGATGAAGACAGTTCGAGAACAATTTGACTCATAGGATATATCTTTTTTTTTTCCTGGGCCTCTATCATGTTTTTCCAAAATCATGTACAGATTTTCAGGCATTCTTTGATCAGAACTGGCATTAAAAATAGTGCATATATAGTTGTATAGGAATGTTTGGCCACCCCTTGACAAATAACACATTTTTAAAACTTTTTATTGAAAAGATGTAAACACTCGAGGGTATGGAACATAAAACACAATATTCATGCATTATTTTGTTTTATTTCATAAACTGAACAAAAATACTTTGAACTGCCTTCTTGCCAAATTATTCATTCAGCTACCTTGGTAGTATGTTCTCAGTATGCTCTCTTAAAGATGGCTATATAGCAGTATGTCTGTTTGCATACTTGTGCATTTCATCTGCCCAACCCAGTTCTCCTTGTACTCCAGGACCTAGCTCCACTACCTGCCTGCTCGTTGTCGGCCTGCAACTTCATGCCATCTATACCAAGCCACACTTCACCCAGCCATGCAGCCAGCCTCGGTCTCCCTCCAGCACTGCTCCCCGCTCCCCTTGTCAAATAAAATCCCTTATATAATATAATATATAATATAAAATGATATGATAAACAGATCTGGATACATCTGTTCTTAGCATTTTGGATAAAAATGCCACAAATGAGCCACAGAATGTTGTTGTCAGAAAACATCCAACATTTATTGGTGAGATGAAACAAAGAAGAGAATACAAAAAAATTATTTTGATATGTTTATAAAATATAATTACAGCATGTAAATGTGCAATATGTGACAAACAAATACACTGTAATTAAATTAATACTTAAATTGTAGTATCAAATTAAATAAAACTACTGGAATATATTGATGAAGAAAAAAAGAAGAAATATATATAAATAATCATAACACATGAGAATTCTGAATACATTGATATGGGTCAAATATCTGTTAAACATATTGTTCTGACAAAGTCTCCTCATTATTCACCATATGGCTAATTGTGGTTTATCCATTATACGAAATAGATGTTGATATTTAGTGCCAGATTTAAATTCCTTTCTAAAATCGATTATGGTAAAACGAGAAACTTCTTAAACTTTTTTTAATTGTGCTATCTAATACCTGCAGATTTCTTTAAAAAAATATCAACTGATCAACATGATCTGGCCGCAGACCACTTCTCTGTACATTCACTATATCGCCAGCAGTATTAAAAACTCACTCTACTGTCACACTGGTGCCTGGAATACACAGGTACCGTTTAGCAAGGGTTGAAAGTACAGGTAGCTCTTTCTCCTGAGATCTCCACCACTTCATGGCATTTTCAGTCAAAGGCAACGCATCATTTGCTCAGTACCATATCACCTCTCCTCTGGCTGTCTTGCTTGTGGATTTTCTTTCTCTTTTGGTGAAGGAATCGCCAAACAGTGCATCTAAGGCTTTCTTCTTACAAGGAGGTGACTCATTTGGAGCTACAATATAAGAAATGTATTTCAAAATATAGTCATGTTTCTCATTTCTCATTTATACAAAACAACAACAATCTTTTGTTGGTATCACATGAAACACACCTGTGGTCTCTTCATTGAATCCTGACGGCTTTTTGCTTGAGCTTCCCTCATCTTCCTCCTGATTTCCCATTGCTTGCATCTATTGATGTAAGAACGTGTGAACTGTTAAAATTTCTGCTCTGTAAGACTGCAGACAGACATTTAGAGGAAGATAAAGAACAGATGAGATTTTGTGTGGAGAGGTCATTGGTCATCACCCTCTTAATCTCTGCAACCAGGGTTCGGTGTTTCAGCAGTTTTGCTTGAAGAGGAGAAATTACAGAGAGAGTTGGCTGGTGTTCTTCACACATCACAGTGGTTGCCATTTTGACAGGACCCATCAACTGAACAATTTCATCCATGTTGGCAATATCACTCTCACTCAGTGTGCCTACATCTGTGACCGCCTATCGTAGATCCTTGGACATCAGAGTTGCCATTATAGCTGTCTGTTGTTCCAAAAAAACGTTCAAGCATTTCAAATTAACTGTTCCATCTGGTGATAATGTCTCCGATCAGTTTATGTTTTGGTAAATCCATCAGAGTTTGTTTTTCCCGTAGGACGTGACACGCAATCGGGCTGCGGTGAAAATATCCAACAATTTTTTGAACTTTCCCCAACAACCTGGAAGCACGGTCCACCCCCAAACCCTTCTGCGATGCAAGGTTGAGTGTATGTGCGAAGCAGGTAATGTGTGGATTGAACTGGGCTTCTGCACTGGGCACAATCATGTTCCTGGCATTATCTGTGACGATGGCAGGATTCTTGTTGGAGATTTTCCACTTCATGCAGGCTTCACGCAGTAACGTGCCAATATTTTTACCAGTATGGGCTTCATTTAAAACTCTGTTTTTCAGAACAAAGGTCTTCATTTTCCACTCTGGATCAATGTGATGAGAGGTAATTGTCACATACCCTTGATTCGAGCATGACGTCCAGCCATCCGTCGTTATCGCTACTCGTTCAACTTGAGAAAGCGACAGCTTCACATCATTCTTAGTACTTTCGTACAATGCAGGAATAATCTTTTCTGAGGAGTGTGGTCGGCTTGGTATCGTGTACCTTGGCTCCAATGTTTGAATCATTTCACAGAACCCCGGATTTTCAGCCACACTGTAGGGTCGTATATCTTTGCAGATAAACTTGGCAATTATTGCTGTGATGTTTTTCGCCTGAGCTGAGTTTTGGCCTAGTCTCTGACTAAACATGCAGGCAGTTTTAATACTGGGACGAGAGTTTTTGTACATGAACTGTAAATATGTATGCATTTTAAAGTTTTATGTTGTAACAGACTGGGCTAGCGTTGTAAGAGACGAGTTCCCTTCACTTTACTTGAAATGTGATTCAAGTAGAGTCATAATCAGTCTTTTATTATGAAATACAATAAGACAACGATCGTCTGTCAGTGTAGGTGCCTTTCTATCTTAGTCTACAGACCAGTGTTTAATGAAAACAAAGCGGAGATTTAAGATTGTGCAGACTTCGTCAAATGCATTATAAATACTTAATTACTGATTACCCGAATAACCACAACAGATGCATGTCTTTACATGTTGATTCAATGTGGGACAGTGTATTAAAAGGAGGAAGCAGGCCACTGGGGCTAAATATGTAACGGGCCCAGGCTGTTGTGTTATGTTGCTGCGTTTAACCAATTGTCAATTGTAAGCTTGGTATAAAAGTGGCACGTGTCGTTGGTTGTTGGCTTTGTCGTTTAGATGAAAAACACCAGAGATAAGTCACAAACTTGTTGTCTCATACACCAGAAAAGCTTTATTTGACAGGTTATAATAAATACAATACAGTAGATTTCATTAAATTAAATATAATTGCTGGAACATAGATTTATGTAATAAAGCAAAGAAAAGAAGAAAAAATATATATAAATAATAATAATACATTAAATATAATAATATTAAGAATAACTCATTGTGAATGCCCAATACGCAAAAACATTATAATTACATAAATACTTAAATCATAGAACATTTATACTTTTATACAATCTCTTACACAATTGCAATCAATCAATCATGATAGGCTTGAGAAATATTTTATTTTCAGGTAACTGGAGAGCTCTGAAAAATCATTATTATTCACCAGATGGCTGACCGTGGATTAACTCTAGTATGAATGTACAAGGTGACAATAAATTGTTTTCCAGATGATAGTGGACAAGAAACATTACTGCCAACTGTGGCACCTCAGCGTCACCCAGACTCCATTCCCTCTTTTCCTACATTAGATTTTTCTGGTTGCTGTAACTGCCAACTAAAGCCATGAAAACGGGTAGTAAACCAAAATCCAAGTCGTTAGGCTAGCTTCAAAGGTGCTTCCTCCTTGCTTTCTCTTACCACACGGTTAAGATAAGGAGTCCAAGCAGCAGATGGATCACACCCAGTCTGATAGAGCAGGCGTCACTGGTAGTTGTTGTAGTTGTGGCTGATTGCGTTGCTGGGATAGAGGTTGTAGTGGCAATTGTTGTTGGGGCAGCGGCCGTTGTTGGGACAGCAGTTGTTTGGGCAGC